CTCTGTCTCTCTCTGTCCCCCGCCTCTCTGTCTCTGTCTCTCTGTCCCCCGCCTCTCTCTGATTCTGCCTCTATCTCTGTATCTGTCTGCCTCTGTCTCTGTCTCTCTGTCCCCCGCCTCTCTCTGATTCTGTCTCTATCTCTGTATCTGTCTGCCTCTCTGTCTCTGTCTCTCTGTCCCCCGCCTCTCTCTGATTCTGCCTCTATCTCTCTCTCTCTGTGTCTGTCTCTCTGCCCTCTCCTCTGTCGCGCTGCTGGCCTCCCGGCTGTGAACGGTGCCTCCTCGCTTTGATCCCTGGGTCTTTGGTGGCGGAGGCTGCACTCTCCTCATTCTTGCTCACCGGTGGAACCCCCCCACCGTGTGAATTTTCTCTCACAGCCTTGGTGGGGTTCTTGACTTCTGGGTGCTCCTCCGCCCTGCCAAGGGGTGCACAGCCCACTGAGCATCCGTGCAGGTAAGCTGGCACCGAGTGTCTGTCTTTCATGGGCCCTGGGGGTGATAAACCTGCTTCTCTCGCTGCAGGTTGGGAAACTGAGGCCAGAGGGGGCTGGTGCTTCCCTGGGAGCTGGTGCCAGGCCAGGTCCTCCCTGCCCTGCTCCCAGCTGAATAGGGGGCAGTGTGGGGACCTCCTGCTGCCCAGGCTCTCCCCTGCTCTGGGGTCCTGGGAGGGCACTGGCGCCCCCACCCCTCACAGGGCAGGTGTTTGCATTTCCTGAGGTGCTTCTCTGGCTTCCATTGATGCCCCAAGGACCGTGTCCCCGAGGGCTGAGACACGCGAGAGCGAGGCGAGGGGCTTACGTGGTCCTCAAGGACATTCCTCCAGGGTCCCCGCAGGGTCAGGGTCCCCGCAGGGCGGGTGCCTCCGAGGTGCAGGGCAGGGCTGTGGGAGGAGCTGGCTTGGGTGGACTGCAGGGACTTGGGCGGCCTGTGCCGTCCTCTGTAGGAAATAACAGGGTGGCTGTGACCACTTCCCCGGGCGGCGTAAATACTGCAGATGAGCAGAGCGCCCATTAATGATGTCTGGGAGGACGCTGTCTGTATGGGTTCAATTATTTCAAAAGGGAGCAATTTTCTCCTATCTCAGGATCAGGTTTTTATTGCAAATAGGATTGTGGCAGGAGCTGGCCGTCCTGGTGGCGGTGGGGAGAGGGCAGCTTATCTTCAGGACCTGCTCTCAGAGCGTGGCCGTGGGAGAGGTGGTGCTCCAGGGCCCATCTGAGCTGGGACTCTGTCTCCTGGGGTCAAAGTCACTGGGAAGGTGTGCTCTGCGTGATCCCTAGCGTTAGGGAAGACGCAGAATGCCAGGAATGTTGTGTTTTGGGGCTGCTGCCTGGCAGGGCAACCTTGACTGCCTATCCACAGCAGGGCTAGGGGGGAGGAGCTTTCCAGATGCCCTGGGCTCAGTTTCCACCCTGGGTGGTGAACAGAAACTCTGCTAAAGCTCAGGAGTGGGGTTGGGGGTGGAGCAGAGACCCCCAGCAACCTCCTGGAGCCAGAGCCCTGGCTCTCCAGCTGCCTGGCAGAAGGATGCTTGTGCATTTGGGGCATCTCCTATGGCTGCACAGCCTGGGACCCTGGAGCAGCCTTCCAGGGGCCCAGCCAGGTTCACCCCTCATGAGGAAACAGGCCTGGAGAGGCTCAGGCCAACAGAGGGGCAGGGATGCAGGGCTGAACATCGCCCCCCCAGCTCCTGCCAGGAGCACTTGCTGTTCAGCCGTCCTGGGCTGGGGTCTGCCAAGGACTGGTGGGACAACAGTGTGTGTGTGTGCACATCTGTGTGAGTGAGTGTACACATGTGGGAGCACTCCCGTGCATGTGCATGCATGTTTGCATGCAACAGAGTGTGCATGTGTGTGAACTGCACGTGATGTGTGAGCGTGCAAGTGTGAGCATGCACGTCTGTGAGTGTGCACACATGTGTGCCTGTGTGTGTTAGTGCACGTGTGTGCACATGAGTGTGCATGTGAACTGCACGTGATGTGAGTATGCACGTGTGTGTGCACATGTGTGAGCATGTGTGTGCACATGTGTGAGCAATGTGAGTGTGCATGTGAGCTGCACATGTGGTGAGTGTGCATGTGTGTGTGCATGTGTGACCTACATACGTGAGTGTGCATGTGTGTGTGCATGTGTGAGTGTGCGTGTGTGTGAACTGCACATGTGATGAGTGCATGTGTGTGTGCACACGTGTGAGTGTGCGTGTGAACTGCACGTGATGTGAGTGTGCACGTGTGTGTGAACTGCATGTGATGTGAGTGTGCACTTGTGTGAGTGTGCACATGTGAACTGCACATGTGATGTGTGAGTGTGCACGTGTGTGAGTGTGCATGGCGGCATGGCTGTGTGTGCATACATGTAGTTGTATTTGTGTGTGTGCCTGTGAATGTGTGTGTGTGTGGGTGTCCCTACATGTGCCTGTGTGCACATGTGTGTGAGTGTATCTGCATATGTGTGGTTGGATGTGTGTCTGTTTGTGTAGAGTGTATGTGAATGTGCCTGTGTGGGCAGTGTGTTTGTGTGGGCGCCTGGCTGTGGCATCGACCGTCTGTCACTGAGCAGCGTAACTTGGAAAGGATGTGACTTCACTGCCCGGGAACAGAGCGCTGCCCGAGTGTGAACCCTCAGGACTTCCTGTGGGATGGCACCTCCCCCTCTCCAGGTGCAGGCCCTGAGGCACGCTGTGTGACCACGTGTGGCCTTAGGCATGTCTCCTAAGCTGCCTGGGCCTCGGTGTGTCAGCTGTGAGTTAGGTGAGGAGAGCAGCAGCCCCTCTGGGCTGGCGTGAGGGCAGGAGTTGGTACACAGACCCGAGTCCGCACCAGCCACTGTTGCCTTCACCCTGGGAGGGGATGAGACCTGGCCACCCAGGAACAGATCTCAGGTGGCTCTGCCCGCGTCTGGACAGGCAGGACTTCCTATGGGATGCCACTTCCCCTCCTGGAGACCCGGGGCCCTCTCCAGAGATGCACCTCCACGTGGGCCAGGACCTGCTCCCAGGCGGCCCCCGAGCCCTGCTGACCCCTCCCTAACTGGGCGAAGGGGAGGCCCGGCCCAAGTCCTGGGCTCTGTCCTTTTGGGCTCTGTGACCTCCCTAGGCCTCATTTTCCCCACCGGAAGCAGGGGAGGAGCGGCTCTGGCACCCTGGGCGGGTGGGGGCAGAGAGGCCTGGGGCTCTGGCAGGGACCATGTGTAACTGGAGGCCTCATGAGAGATGCAAGATAAAGGTGGAAATAGCTTCAGAGCCTGGGCCTGCTAGTGTCCCGCTAGGCCGGCTGTGGGGCGGGCGCGTCCACCGCGGGGACTCTGCCCCCACGCAGGGAACAGGAACCCTATGGAGCCTCCCTTTGTGCTGGGGGCCTGGGGGGTTATTACCAGCTCCTCTACTGAGTGGGGCACCAAGCTCCCCTGGGGGAGGGGAAACTGAGGCCTAGATGGGGAGAACGGCCTGCCAGGTTTCAGAGCCTGGGTTGGGACAGAGACTGAGGTCAGCGCTGGGAGTGCCCGCTGTGGGCCTGACCGGCTGGTGCTGCAGTGAGAGCTGGCACCATGAGTGCTGAGGCCCAGGGCCCTGATCTGGGGTGTGACCCTCCAACAGTCTTTTGGGGCCCAGTCCAGTACCCCAAAGACCCCACCTCACCTTGAAGCCGTTGAGAGATGTGAGGGCACTGATGGAGCCCAGCAGGGCCAAGTCCCTCCACTGCCAGACCGGCCTGCAGTGGGGCATGGGCTGGGCAGCGGTTCTGGCCGGGTTCAGGGGCTTGGATAATGCCAAGCTTTGGGGCCCAGCTCTGCGGCTCCCTCCCACTCCTGCCCAGCCTCCAGGACGCCACCCACTGGGCTCCCTCCCACTCCTGC